GCCAACGCCGGAAACATGGTACATAAACTTCTTTATTTTATTTTACAACTAATTTCGTATTGTTTATTAAAAAAGCTTTAACTCACTCAAGGGACATAGATTGCCAATTGCTCAAATATTTTACGTTCAATTCAAATGTAATGTGTGTTTGATTTCTTATAGAGGGTAATTCTTATTTATTTTCATGGATCAGGAATTCGGAAAATATGTATTAAATTATCATTGGAAATTTGATATAGATATGGTCTGAGTGAGGGTAGGCCCTCTGAAAAAGGTATTCGAATTGATGCACAAGTAAGTTATCTATATTTATATCAAATATTTAAGTTGTATCATTGCAATTTTTTCGGTTTGTTAACAATTATATTAGACTTTTTTAGATCATGTATTGAAAGATGATGATTTAAAGAATACCAAACTTATAACGTATGGTCAATCACTTGGTGGTGCTATATCAATTGATTTGGTTTCGAGAAATGAAGATAAAGTACGATAATGCCTTAATTTTGTTTACACTACAGTTTTTTTTTATCAACATTTGACTTATTTGACGTTTTGTTAAATTTAGTTCAGTGCTATGATTTTAGAAAATACATTTTTAAGTATTGTAAGTAAACCATTTTCGGTGAGATGACCTAGTTATATATATCAGAAGCATTCACACAATTCGACCATTTCATTCTTTAAAAATATAGCCGAAAGTGATACCTTATGTCATGCCTCATTTGAAATATTTGGCATTTTTATGCCACCAAATTTGGCCTTCAGAAAACTCAATACGACAAATAGTACATACACCAATACTATTCCTATCAGGTGCACGTGACGAAATAGTACCGCCATCTCATATGACCGATTTATACGAATTTTCACAAACAAAGGACAAAGAATTTAAAAGGTTTGATAATGGTTTCCATAATGATACTACTATTCAGCCAGGATATTTTGAAACTATTGGGGAATTTTTAAGAAAAGAAAATTTGTTGGACGATGAAGGCAAGGAATGGGTCAGAATTTAGTATTGATATTTGTGAAAATATTCATTGTTTATTATCGAATAAGACAGGTAATTTGTTAATTTATGTAATAATCGAAATTTTGATTAAATAATTTCAAATAAAGATATAAAAAAAAAATAAAAATTATTTTAGAATTAAATCAACTTTATTAGTCAGATAATGTTTCGCTAGAACACTTAAAATAGTAAATAATTATTCTTTAATTAATATTGCGACTTTATTTTTTGCCCCCAGATTTTTTGATACCACCCCCACCTATAGTTGTGAAATTAGAATTATGTTAATGTATTCAAGAAAAATGAAATAAGAATCATATAAATGTCAACCCACCAAGAGGACCACCTTGTTTAGCTTTGTCTTTTAATTCTTTTAACCTTTTTTGTTCTTCTTGCTGTTTTTTCTTGAATTCTAAATCAGCCTAAAATCGTTTCCATATAAAATATGATTGTAAATTACATTGACTCACAACAAAAAGAAACAAGTCTTGACAGAAATAAAATATGCACCTCATCTAGATCAGAAGCTTTCTTTTTGCCTTGTTTAAGTGGTTTCAATTTGCCGCCTATATTTAACGAATCATGAGAAATATGTGAATAAAATCGATACATAATTTATTTTATAAAAGTTTCTATACTCTATTCAAAGTTTAATTATTAGTTTGTCAAACATAAAAATACCTTGACGACCAGACATTTTGTTGAAGATTGAACTTTTTAATTCAAAAAGCTATTCATCCTATGTATAAACGTTAATTAAAAGGACACCGTTTTCCGTTAGGCAAATATCTGTGTGACAAATAATGCAGATCAAAATTTGGTATATTAAATTTATAATTTTGGCCAAAAAATTAGCCTCTAAGGGGTAACAAAATCGGAAATTCATGTTTTTTCTATAGTATAGGAATCTGATATAAAAGTTATTATGTAAACCTCATTTGGCTTCTAATAAAAGTTGTAGAACTAATTTTTCGGATTTTAATGGTGGTAAAATTAGTATTTTTCGACAAATAGTAAAACTGTGCCGATTTTTACTATGAAATTTATACTCTTCAGCTGCAACACTTAAAGACTAGTGTTCCTAACGGGTCAGGTTTTAGAAAAAACCCGAACCGGAACCGAAAAGCCAGATCGAGCCTAGAACAGACCGGAACCGGCCAGGAACCGATCCGAACGATATTTGAATGCAACACAACGGTCTGATCGGTTAGCGCAAATCAATTTCCCGGGTAACTTTGTTCAAAGAATACAATGTTTCAATATAACAAAAATTACAGTAAAATCGTTTATAGCTTCAAAAAAAACACCATCATTCACTTTGCTAAATTGACCTAGAAGACAAATAATCCACTTCCATTGGGGCATAAGTCGATAAAAAAAGTACGTACGTACCAAGATTTTTCCTACCTGCTACAGGATATTCAATAAACTTTATTACTACCTGTTCAATTTTAGCAGGCATATGCGCGGCTAATTTATAATAACGCGCAAGGGTGTAATTCCAAATTTCGGCCTAATTAAGTTTATTTTGGGCCGTGGCTCATATTACGCGCAGCATTGAAATTTACTACTGGGGATTGGGACCCAAATGAAGTTTATATCAGATTACATGACTTATTTCAGCATCCATCAGTGCTGAAATACACTAACTATAACTTATTTTGCTTAAGGCAATTTTAATTGTGTCTTCGCTAACTTCATCAAT